ACGTTCGTGACAACCTTTGTTTCAGTAGAGTATTTCAGTGGCATGTTTCAGTCCTCTTCTCTATTACTTAAAAAAAAATAAGCCACGGATTCAGGTACAAGATACTATCGTTACCATCTGAACAATTAGACATCCATTATCATCAGTAGCTACCGCTCGTTAACGGTGGGACGTGGAGTGAAAACTCGATTATATTTGAAATCTTATCCTCTCTTTCCTCACCAACCCATTTCACAAATTCCCCCCATATATATATATAAACCCTCTAGGTCATTACATTCATCATCCAAAGTTCCCAATTCCCAATTTCCAAAATCCTATCTCTCTCTCTCAAAGAGAAAACAAAGCAAAAGCAAGCCATGGGAGTTTACCCAGAAACCCTTTTGCTAGTTCAACTCAACATGAAAGAACCATCCCAAGATGAAACATCAATGGAAGAACAACAAGAACAACAAGAAGCCATAGCCAAGAGCTTCAACAGAAGAAGAAGAAGCAGCAACTCATTGATGAAGAAGAGAAGATCAAGATCATCAACTAGAATCGAGCAAAGAGTCAGCACATTAAGAAACCTCGTACCAAACATGAACAACAACAACAACAACCATGAAAGCTGTGTCGGATCATTAGAACAGCTTTTCACTCAAACAGCTGATTACATATTGTCGCTGCAAACAAGAGTGAGATTCATGAAGAATTTGGTTAATGTCTTATCTGCTTCTTCTTCTTCTAACGATCATGAGTGAGATTATTTCAAACATTTTTATTTTTTATTTAACTATTTAATTTTTATATATATGTATATGTGTTTCTCTAAAGATTGATATATGCGATTTTATATATATCATTCTTTTTCCTTTTTTTTTTCTTTATTCGTATTTGCATTTTTTTTTTAAATTTTCTTTTTTATTTTTCATTTGTAATATTATTGTGTATTATTATTATTATTATTTGGGTTTGATTTTATTTTATTTTTTCCTCTCAAAATTATGACAAACTTTATAATTTAACTCAAAAATAGCACCAAATTTAAATTAAAATGCTTAAACTAACTCAAAAGCTAAAATAATATTAGTAAAAACTTTTATATTTTGGAGCATGATGAAATTGGGCCTCAGGCCCAATAATTGAGCTCGTATAGAAATTATTTTTATAATCCACCACGTGTCCATAGTTTTCATCATGGAATAATCAGATCAATCACAACCGTACATACAAATGATCAAAATCTTTGAATAACATTTAAATAAAAATGGAGTTGACCACCAAATTTAATAAATAAATAAATAAAATAGATCATAATTTATTATCGAATGGCATGGGATATATATGAAGGAGAAGTCAAGAAATGGACCGACATTGTGATTCAAATGTGTTGCGTTGTCGACTCTTTAACGACGTGTCGGCACCTACCATTTTCAATATGTTGAGTGTTTAAATTTGCTTTTTTTTATTTATTTATATTAATGAAATTGTGGATATAATTTAATTTTAAATTTATTGTTTTAATTTCACGTAGATTAACATATAGCCTATGGTTTATCACGTACCTATGTTAGCTAATTAATTTTAATTTACTTAAACTTAGGGATTCTTAGTGTCAATATTAATGTCACGTCAAATAATATTTTCTCATAAATAAATTTTAAAAAAAGGATGTTAGCAAAAATTTAGGTAGAAAAATTAATTTATAAAAGGCTTTTAAATATGACACGTGTGATTTCAGAAATTTCCTTGTCTTTTAACCGAAATAAAAGAAACAGAACACGTACGATCGTACGACACGTCTAATCGAATCGACGGATGAGAGCAGCCCAACACCTTCCGTCGTGGATTCGACTTCGATCCGGCATGCTGACGTGTACCCGTACACTCTTAAAGAAAAAAAAAACATTTTTTTCTTTCTTGAAATTAAGTTTCTCGTGAATTTCGCCGGTTTTCTTTTACTCGTCGACTCGGTCCCACATCGGCGACCTTTCGGTCCAATTCCTTTTTCTTTTGCCGCTTTAAAGAAAAATGTAATTTTGCTTTTACTTCATATTCATATTTTTTTACATTCAATTAATACCATGAGTAGGGGTTGTCAGATGATTATAAACTCATTCCCTAAATTAGTCGAGACGGGACTTTCATCATCAACACGAATAAAATACGTCTCCCCTAAATCTAGGCTCGACTTCTTTGGAGTCTTAGTAATAAGATAAGGAAATTAATTATAAAGGGTAAGATTCGGATTACCTTGTTGATCGAATATCTCACGACAAGAACATTGTTTGAGATTCGAATCACTCCACAAGCAAGATCGATCATGTCTAACTTGAATGATTCTTGTTGGTCAAATATCTCAAGACAAGAACACTTGATTGAGATTCGAATCACTCCACAAACAAGATTGATCATGTTGAGCTTGAATGATTGTACATGCAACCTAAACTATGTAGAATTGCAAAGAAATTTAGCCATTGGGTAAAGAAAAACAAAAATGCTTCTTTTACTGTATTTTACAAATCTCCCTACAAATACAACATACATGACTTTATATAGCATCAAAATGAAACTATTAAAGGCATTCAGTTGTAACATTCATACTTAATGGCCATAATTAACCCTTATGTAATTGTAACCTAAAGTAAATTAAAAATCTTAAAATACATTAATGAAATACAATAAATTTAAATTATTCTAAATTGTAATCCACCCAAAATTTATAACATCAAACTTCATTTTCTTACAATAGGCATGAATTGAAATATTTTTTGATAATTTCAACAATATTTTCTTCACATCTTCATTGAAGTATATTGCATGATTGATGTCTCTTGGTTCATATCACTTAGTCATCTAACAGAAGTGTTAGTTTTAAGCACAAATTTTCTTTTAATATTGATGCAAATCAATTTTCGATTTAAACCTGTGTCCATTCCATGTCATGCTCGGTCCTTGATTCCGACTCATTTAGCTATTGATGATCGAGGTGCATTACTCAATTTTATTGGATTAAAATTGATCCAAGTTTAAGTGTTTTATGAATTTAAGCCAACTCGAACCTCGAGTTAAATTTGAATAAATAATTAGAAATTGAAAATGAAATGAGAAGGCAGCACGAAACTTCGGAACCACACGTGTGCACTTTTCTAGGGATTATATCGTCAAAAGAAGCGAAGAAAAAGGAAAACAAGATTTCTTTTATAGTACTACATGTCATGATGCATCATTAACATCAGATTACAAACGTTAAATAGAGTTGAGTTGAATTATAACTCTATTTTCAAGTTCGATTGAGTTATCAAGTCATACGAACACCCTTACATTTTCATTAAAAATAAATAATTGAAATTGATAATGGATCATGCGTGTATATTTAATATTTAAATTTATATACCAAAAATTATTAATCAATTAATTTTAAAATTTTTTAAAAATAAAATTATTATCAACCGAATTCCTCGGAAAGATGATTTGAATTCATCCAAAATCTATCACGTTATAATGATTTTGATACATTAAAATAATAAAATAATAACACTATTTTTCATAAATATTTGAATATCTTTTTTTATTAAATCCTTTTTCTTTTTTAAAGGAAAAGATTGGGGAGACAGTGAAGCAATTTGGGGATTGAGAAAAGCAAAAAAGCAAAATAATAATAATAGTTATTACGCATGCTTATAAAACGACGTCGCATTTCATCATTTGGCCGAATATACTTCACGTGCGTCTAAACCCCCGTTTCACACCGTACTTGTTTTCCACTCCCACTGTCCGTCCGTACAAAACATTGACCTGCAATTGCCGGTCACCACCACTACAAAAACAGCCTCCCTCTCCCCAAATCCCCATTATTCCCAATATCCCAACCCCTCAATTCTCTCTCTAAAAGCCTTATTTCACGGGTAGGGTTTATGGAGCTTGATTTAATTTGGTCGCAATTTGATATGTTTTCGACGTCGTCTTACCCAATTCAAAATCCTGCTATCGACCCCGAGAATTTGGAGATATTGAATGCATGGCCTACATCGTCCACCCAGCTCATCAACGATGAATTGTCGGAGTTGAAGCTACAAGAAGAAGAGAAACCTCGACCAAAAACGGTTAAACCTAACCACTCGTTAGTGTTCCGTCTTTTTTTTTCTCTTTTTAATTCAACAATATTTAGAGGCAAATATCATTTGTTGATGTATTTAAAACATTAAATTTAGGTCGAAAACAAAGAAAACGAATCAGAAGAAGAAAGAGCAAGAACAACGATACACGTTCATGACGAAGAGCAAAGTTGATCATTTAGAAGATGGATATAGATGGAGAAAGTACGGGCAAAAAGCTGTAAAAAACAGCCCTTATCCTAGGTAATATCGTTGTACTCAAATTACTATTATACCCTAAATCTTATGGTGCACGGATGTTTCTAACATGTTTTTTTTTTCTTTTTGTAGGAGCTATTATCGTTGTACTAGTGTAGCATGTAATGTAAAGAAACGAGTGGAGAGATGCTTGAAAGATCCCAGCATTGTTATCACAACTTATGAAGGCCAACACCCTCACTCTACCCCTGTCATGGCTCGATCAACCTTCGTCCCTCCGCCTATCTCTACCTCTCTCCACGAGGGTTCCACATCGTTCACCTCCACCCCTCCTTATCTCTTTCACAACCAAAACGTTCATAATTTAAATTTTGCCCGCCACCCCAATGACTTTGTGGCACCGTCATTTCATCACGAGCGATTGCCACAACACACTGCCTCCTTCGATCCACCTACTCATTTATTTGCTTCTACTACTAATTATGAGTTACTTCAAGATGTTAGTTGGTCGACATGATGTATTGTAACAGCCCAAGTTCACTACTAACAGATATTATCTACTTTGACCCGTTATGTTTCGCCGTCAGCTTCACGATTTTAAAACGCATCGTTTAGGAAGAGGTTTCCACGAATGTTTCGTTCCCCTCTCCAACAACTATGTCGTTTTATGTAATAATTTTTCAATAATTATTATTATGCGAACACCACATAATTTATTTATAACATATTTCTTTCCGCAAAAACAGAGATCTTTCTCCTAATTTATGAAACTATTTTTTAATTCACCAAAAGAATTTACTAAAAAAAAACTAAATTTACCCATAAAAAATTCAATTAATCCCCCATAAATGAAAAAAAAAAAAAAACATTTCCGGCCCAGAAATTTACAAATGTGACCGACGATTCAGAATCAAGTTTCATGGGAGTTACTGTTTCCGTTGGATTGATTCAATCGTCGGTCGCCATCTCCGATTAACACAAATTCGATCATTAATCCCTTGTTTTTTCTTCGATGATGTTCGTTTTGATTTTTCCCACCAGATGATCGGAAGAACACCATCAAAATCGATTTGGATTTTGTCGGTCTGAGCTTCAACTTCGGTATGGTTCTACTAAATCCTTGTTTGGTTCGACTCATTTTAGGTTGTTTTGCGATTAATTTGTTCCATTTCCCGTTTTTTTTATGGGTTTCTGTTTGGTTGGATGGTCTGTTTTGTTTTCGATCATTTCTGGTCTGATGGGTTTCTTGAGACTTCGGTGGCGGTGTTGTTTGTGTATTGTTGTTTTTCTCATTTGTTTGTTTCGGCATTGCCGATGTTGTTGGAAACTTTGGTGTTGGCTCATTTCCTGTTTTGATTGTTGTTTTCTTGCTTATCTTGTGTAAATTTAGGAGACTGATGGGTTAGATTGTTTGGATATCTCACCCCGGTTGGAGAGGTAACGAAGCATTCCTTATCTGGGTGTGGAAACCTCTCGAAGCATTCCTTACCTGGGGGTGGAAACCTCTCCTAGTAGATGCTTTTTAGAACCGTGAGGCTGACGGTGATACGTAACGGGTCAAAGTCGATAATATCAACTAGCGGTGGGTCTGGGCTGTTACAAATGGTATCAAAGCTAGGCACGAGCGATGTGCCTCACTCCTTTTATGGGTGTGGATTGTGAGATCTCACATTGGTTTGAGAAAAAACGAAACATTCCTTATATGGGTGTAGGAACCTCTTCCTAGTAGACGTGTTTTAAAACCGTGAGGCTAACGGCAATACGTAACGGGCCAAAGCGGACAATATCTACTCGCGGTGGGCTTGAGCGATTACAAATGGTATTAGAGCTAGGCACTGAACATTGTGCCAGCAAGGACGCTGGGCCCTAAAAGGGAGTGGATTGTGAGATCTCACATCGGTTGGAGAGGGAAACGAAGCATTCCTTATATGGTGTGAAAACCTCTTCCTAGTAGACGCCTTTTAAAACCGTGAGGCTAACGGCAATACGTAACGGGCCAAAGTGGATAATATCTTCTAGCGGTGAGCCTGAGCCATTACAAATGGCATCAGAGCTAGGCATCGAGCGGTGTGCCTCACTCCTTATGCGGGTGTGGATTGTGAGATCTCACACCGGTTAGAAGAGAGAATGAAGCATTCTTTATATGGGTATGGGAAGCTTTCCTAGTAGACACGTTTTAAAAACGTGAGGCTGACGACAATACGTAACGGGCCAAAGCGGACAATATCTACTAGCGGTGGGCTTGAGCCGTGGATTGTTTTTGTTTTTCTGTTTGTCATTGCTTTAAGGCCATTGTTTACAGCGATTGAATGCTGAGCTTTGATTGCAGAGTTCCTCTGTTCATTTATAGTTCAAAAGGCTATGAAATTGAGTGGATGGCTTTAAGAGAAGGGGATCTCACATTTGATCTGGAAAGCGGGGCGAAGATTGTTAAAGAGGATTCTGGAAATGTGGAGCCAAGTTCAATCAAACGAGCGGTGAAGAACATTTTTTGGGGTAGGTTGACCAAGGATACATTGCCACGAGACGAACGAGCTGCAGCCTCGAGCAGTTACGTTGCCAATATCATCCGTGATGCGAACATAAAATTGTTGATAGATAAGAATTTGAAAGGAGAAGAGGGTCGTCGTGAAGTCGTTGCTAATGTCGAGAAGAAGAATGATAGAGGGAAGCATAATAACAAGAAAAAGGCTCCAAAGCCACCTCGACCGCCCAAGGGACCTTCACTTGACGCTGCTGACCAAATGCTGGTCAAGGAAATCGCCAAGCTTGCCATGAAAAAACGATCGAGAATCGAGCGAATGAAAGCGATGAAGAAGGCAAAAGCTGAGAAAACATCTTCTTGCAATACTTACATACCAGCATTGATTATCACATGCCTCTTCTTCCTTGTAGTAATCATTCAAAGTAAGCAAGTTGTGCTTGATGTTGAAACTACGAACCGCTTCGATGTCCTTATGTTTTTAAGGATGTTTTGTTCGTGTTTGTCTACAGGTATAAGCTCTAGAAGCAGTTCATTGTTCCAGGGGTCGCCCGAACCGGCCGTTGGTGGTAGTAGCGGTTTCATTTCGGTTCAGTACATTATGAACTTTCCCAGAAATGAAAGCTATATACCCAATTCCACCACCTCTGTTAAGTGAGTACTTGTTGTTGATGCTGCCCTGCTGCATAGCTCGTGTCTGATTTTGTTCCTCTTAGAAAAGGCTGGCATGGTGGCTCCTATGGCCTTCATTTTTTAGTACTACACTTTTGTGTCTCTTTTCAAGAAACATCCCATTTTTGTAATCAAACCCTTTTATATTTTGATTTTATGTTGATGAGTTGAATTATGAACGTTTTCCCTCTCGGTTTCGATACCGAACCGGAAGAATTACGATGATTTGGTTGGCCGATGCTTACCGAGGAACAAACAGGTACGCCTACCGTCCAAATGATTCTTAGATTTCAAGATGATGAAACAATGAAAGCTTCCTTTGATCTTCATCTTTGGTTGCAGCAATCTCATTAGAGATACTTGTATGAAAACATCTCATGGAGTTCTCTGCATTTTGAGCCTTGTGGTCCATTCTTATCGTGTGACCGACATGACACGAAAAAGGGTATTGCCGAGATCATCGTTAAAGAGATGTTAGCGAATGGCGGAGAAATTCCAGTTCATATAGAGCTTTGTCGCCCTGACTGATCGATGCTGCAGTGAAGGAATGTCTAGCTGCCCATAACGACGTGCTGTATTGACATGTAACCAATTCAATGATCTCGAGAGCGTTGTAATGTTTTTGGTTAAAGGAGTATTAGATAGCGACTTGCTATGCCATGTATGTGACAGGGGTGGGTCGAGGCTTTGTGAAGGGGCATTTGGGTCGCGGCATTGGCATCGGCATCCGCATCAGCATCATGAATCTTGAAACGCTGCGACGTTAAGCAAGATCTAGGATTTTCATGAGGTTTTTTTTTTTAGTTTAAGTCAAGTTGGACTTAAAATCTTTACCTTAATTGTTCATATGAAGTCACATATATGAACATGTCTCACGAGACAACAATGCAACATCCATGTCGTGGTTGTGCTAGTCTTCCTACTTCATAAGAATATTTTGAGATCTCTAGAATATTGTTCTTTCTCGAGCTCTCGTTCAATTTCATACTCCTGACAAAAAAAAAAAAAAAAAAAAATTTTTTTTTTTT